TCCGCGCTAAACCGCTAAACTTGTAGTGTTTTTGCATTTGTGTTCCCTCAACGTGAAAGTTTCTTTACGCAGATTTTCTGCTCAAAGTTTATCTACATTCCCCAATGAAGCAACAATTTTGATTCCCTTTATCTCGTGTAAATGGAATATGAAGGAGAGAGCCATGCTTGGGGGCCGCAATAGCTGATTTTTATTCTAAGGGCCAAGGAAGCAGGTGGTGGAAGGTGGGAAAGAGGAAGTAAATATGAGCGCTTTTTACAAAGTTCTCAGCATAGAAGGACTAACGCAGTCTAAATCAAGAATAAGAGCACAGCATGTATTTACAGTCCACTATTAACCTTTTCAAAAGAATTCATGCCCAACCTTTGAGAACCGTATTGATTATCAGGAGATATGATTTTTAAACATTCCAGCATCTTCATAGACAGTATTCCCCTGTAAATCCATTAAAACATTTGCAAAGTTTCTCATGCTTACCTTCTACAAAACCTATGCTCTTGAACTGTTTAAGACTGAGCCATTCCATTTATAAACAGGATAAACGGAAGCGTGTGAGCGTTAGGAAATTAGAGTAATAACTTAGCTCCAATCTTATCACGGTCTACCACATTGAAGAAAATTACTTTCACTTAAAGATCATTATCTTTTATAGGTATTTATACTCTTTGCCATACTTTCTATTAGACAAAACACAATCAGCTTTTTGCAGAGCTGTTGTACTGCTGTGAAAACGAAACGAAGGAGACTGAAGATGACCTGTCGCAATGGCCAAATGCAAGTCTTTACCTTTGTTTTCTCTCAAAGATTTGTTGCTAGTGTCTTCACTGTCATTACCTCATATCAACCCATATTCCCAGTTCATGTTCATTTTTTTAGAAAACACACCGTGGTCACGATAGTTCGCAAGTGCCAATGCTCGAATACATGTCGAGCAAGAACGTATCGTTCGCTTCTAACTAGGCGATGAAGTACAAGCTATTTAATTAATAATTGTGTCATAGTTTTGATATCATCTTGTTCACCAGTTGACAGTAAGTACACTCATTCTGTACTGCCATTAGCTCGGTTCATGCAAAACCGCCTTATGTCTTCGTTCTGTTTCTATTCACATAGTGTGCTACATTGTATTCTTTCGCCATATTAAATGTGCAGTTATTGGTACGCAATTTATGGTTCGTTTCTTTGAGAAACGTATAATAAAGATATAACATTCACTTGTTGCAATTCTACTCGGACTAAAAGGATTTCTCGACTAAGTCTTTGAACTTAAATCTGCTAAATTAAATCCATGGAAAACAGCAAAAAAAACATGCTCAATAAAGGTTGGCTGTCGCCGTTTTTACGTCAACACAAGCTACCAACTACGCAAAGCCACAGTACTGAAGTCGAGCGTCAAGCATTGCACCACTTTATCTTAGTTCACGAGTGCTCAAAGCAGACATCCCCATTCTACGGTAGATTCCAT